TAAAAATAGTTCGAAAACGAATTTTAGCTATCCCGCAAACAGACCAAGTCTAGGGGATACGAGGCAACCCCAAGTATCCAACCACAGTACTTTCATTCAGATCTGATGTCCCATTTCAAAATAAAAGGTCTCGGATATCAGTAATTTTGTTTGTTTTAGCCTGATTAAAAAAAAAAAAAACTCATTAAAACATTTATTTTCGTTATTCTGCAACCACACCGGTTCTATGGCACACTGGACCACCCCATGTTTCCATACTAGGCAACCCCAAGTATCCAACCACAGGACAGTAAATATTCCCATCTACGGATTTCTTTGAAACAGAAATTCCCTCACCCGGACTAAAAACCTATGCATTAAAATTTCGACTACGATGTTAAATTAACGATCAATTCATAACAACGGAATTTCCACGACCCGAAGCCATACAGAAGCACGCAGTGGCTCAAACACAAGCAAGTCCCGCTCGATACAACGGAATAACTCTGTCCGCGCCGCTATTTTCTCTCATTGGATACAAAACGGCAACATGTAAGTGACTCTTTTAGCATGAGTTTTACTGGAATAGTGAACAATTTTTATTTCGTTCACAGCTCCGAGTTTCCTGAACGCAACATACTCATAGCTGCTCTGCCATTGGCTTACCGAGCATCATCCTGGCCTCCCATTGGCCAAGAGGGACCTCAATATCTATGTGTGTAGATCGAGTGGAATGCATCCGATTAACTGCTCAGAGTAAATGCTTGTAGCTCAACGGATAGTCGAATAAACGAACGTTTCCTGAAATGCTTTACTTGTTATCTTGCTAAAAACCTTACGCTAACTGGAACGCTAATTAGAGTGAAGGCGAGTTCCATCGCGCTAACGATGGCCATTGAGGACTTTGAAGCGTCCCGTGGCTGGCTTTAAAAGTTCATTGCATGACATCAGCTGAGCAACGCTGTCTTCGGTGGCGATCAAGGGCAGGTCGAGTTAGAGACAGTGAGATAGTGGAAAGAAAAGCCACCGGGTCTGTTGCTCGTCTCATTTTAGAGTAAATAGTCCTAAGTTTGTTATCCTATATTTTGTTCATATACCTGTACAGTATACTGTACTGCAGCTTTTGTGTTATAAACAGTGTTCATCCATCCATCCATCTTCGACTGCTTATCCGGGGTCGGGTCGCGGGGGCAGCAGCTTTAGCAGGGAAGCCCAGATTTCCCTCTCCCAAGCCACTTCTTCCAGCTCTCCTCGGGGGATCCCGAGGTGTTCCCAGGCCAGCTGGGTGACAGTCTCTCCAGCGTGTCCTGGGTCGTCCCCGGGGTCTCCTCCCGGTGGGACATGCTCGGAACACCTCACCAGGGAGGCGTTCAGGAGGCATCCTAATCAGATGCCCGAGCCACCTCATCTGGCTCCTCTCGATGTGGAGGAGAAGCGGCTCGACTCTGAGCCCCTCCCAGATGACCGAACTTCTTATCTCTAAGGGAGAGCCCGGACACCCTGCGGAGAAAAAACTCATTTTGGCCGCTTGTATCCAGGATCTCGTTCTTTCGGTCACGACCCATAGCTCGTGACCATAGATGAGGGTTGGAACGTAGATCAACCGGTAAATTGAGAGCTTCGCCCTTTGGCTCAGCTCCCTCTTTACCACGACAGACCGATACAACGTCCGCATCACATCAGATGCTGCACCTATCCGCCTGTCGATCTCTCGCTCCCTCCTGCCCTCACTAAACAAGACCCCAAGATAGTTAAACTCCTCCGTTTGGGGCAAGATCTCCTCCCTGACCCGGAGAGGGCACTCCACCTTTTTCCGACTGAGGACCATTGTTTCAGATTTGGAGGTGCTGATCTTCATCCCAACCGCTTCACACTCGTCTGTGAAACGCTCCAGTGAGAGTTGGAGAGCCCTGCTTGAAGGAGCCAACAGTACCACATCATCTGCAAAAAGCAGAGATGCAATACTGAGGCCACCAAAACGGACCTCCTCAACGATTCGGCTGCACCTAGAAATTCTGTCCATAAAGGTTATGAACAGAATCGGCGACAAAGGGCAGCCTTGGCGAAGTCCTACCCTTACTGGAAATTATTCAGACTTACTGCCGGCAATACGAACCAAACTCTGACATCGGCGGTATAGGGACCGAACAGCCCGTATCAGGGGGTTCGGTACCCCATACCCACGAAGCACCCCCCATAGAACTCCCCGATGGACACGGTCAAACGCCCTCTCCAAGTCCACAAAACACATGTAGACTAGTTGGGCGAATTCCCACATAACCTCGAGGACCCTGCTAAGGGTGTAGAGCTGGTCCACTGTTCCACGGCCGGGACGAAAACCATGCTGCTCATCCTCAATCTGAGGCTCGACTTTCTGACGGACTCTCCTCTCCAGCACCCCTGAATAGACCTTACCAGGGAGGCTGAGGAGTGTGATCCCACTGTAGTTGGAACACACCCTCCGGTCCCCCTTCTTAAAAAGAGGAACTACCACCACGGTCTGCCAATCCAGAGGCACTCTCCCTGATGACCACGCGATGTTGCAGAGGCGTGTCCACCAGGACAGCCCCACAACATCCAGAGCCTTGAGGAACTCCGGGCGGATCTCATCCACCCCTGGGGCCTTGCCACCGAGGAGCTTTTTAACCACATCGGTGACTTCAACCACAGGGATAGGAGAGCCCACCTCAGAGTCCCCAGACTCTGCTTCCTCCAATGAAGGCATGTTGGTGGAGTTGAGGAGGTCTTCGAAGTAGTCCGCCCACCGGCTAACAACGTCCCGAGTCGAGGTCAGCAGCGCCCCATCCCCAATGTACACAGTGTTAGTGGTGCACTGCTTCCCCCTCCTGAGACGTCGGATAGTGGACCAGAATTTCCTCGAAGCTGTCCGGAAGTCGGCTTCCATGGCCTCACCGAACTCCTCCCATGCCCGAGTTTTTGCCTCGGCAACCACCGAAGCTGCATTCCGCTTGGCCAGTTGATACCCATCAACTGCCTCTCGGGTCCCACAGGCCATAAAGGCCCGATAGGACTCCTCCTCCAGCTTGACGGCATCCCTTACTGCTGGTGTTAGGAGTAAACAGTGTTAGGAGCATATATTTTTGCATTTCATTGCTTGTGTTGTTAAACATGCACTGTATTTTGTTCACATACTTGCATGTTCATAAAGGACATGTACAATGCTCATTTCCCACATAGGGAAATTCTTTTATAAGGAAGGATTGTACAGCACAAAACTAGAGAATATTTACTGTACTTGAATTCAGATCTGATGTCCTATTTTAAAATAAAAGGACTCAGATATCAGCAATTGTGACCTTTTCACCCAATTAAAAAAAAAACTTTCAAAAATGAATTTTCGTTATCTCTCAAACACATGAAGCCTAGGGCACACTGTGATACCCCAGGTATTTAATAAGACTACTTTCATTTTTATTATCCTGTCTGGTTGCGAGATAGCAAAAAGTGATGTTGCAAAATAGCAAAACTGATTTTGGCCTAGTGCACCCGAGACCTTGTGTGATTCCGAGATATCTAAAATTAATTTTTAAATAATTTTTTGAAATGAGGCAAAAAGGTCAAAATGTCAGTTTTTAGAGGTCTTTTTTTTTGAAAGGGAACATCAGATCTTAATGATCTGGTTGGATACCTGGGGTGGCCCAGTGTGCCTTAGCCTTGATCTGGATGCGGAATAACTATTACGTATTTTTTAATTATTTTATTTTTTTTAATCAGGTGATTTTTTTTTTGTCATTGATGTAAAGTTAACATTTACCTATTATTTTTATCTCAACTTCAGAATGCATTTTGGTGCTGTTCTGAGAGTTTTCATACTCCTTGGGTGAACTCATGGTCTGACCCCTGAGAAATTATTTTATAACTTTATTCTAAATCCAAACCACTGACGTGCATAAATTCATAAGAGAGCTTTTTTTTTAAGGTGGCCAATGCCGCTCGCTGGCAGCAGATAACCGTCATGCTCAGTATTAGAAATCACTGTGGCGGCTGTCTTAACTTCAACTTTGCGAGTGGAAGCTGGTGAGACCGCAGTGCTTAACTGAGCTGGATCGCTGCTAACATTGAGGCACTTGTGATCAGCACATCGCTCTGTGGAGATCGTAAGCATAAAGTGTTGTCATTTTCGTGTGAAAATGTGCGCAAGAAGGACAGCAGGGCACGAGGAGGAACTTTGTGAAACAAAAAAGGACCGTGTGTGACAACGTCAACTGCTGGATGCCATTGGCAGGATGCAGCCAAGAATTGTTCTTCACAGATTAGGTTGGGTCTTTCTTGCACGCTGTGTGTGTGTGTTTGTGTACAAACACACTGCGATAACTCACTTTTCGGGGTTAATGGGTACTGGGCCCTTGCCGCGATAAGTGAAAAACCGCGAAGGAGGATTTGCTCGGAATTTTCGTGTAAGTGAATGTGGGTACCAGCTGGGCGGGGTTGTGAAGATGCGCAAACAATCAGCTCAAGGGATAAATCCATTCGTGCTGTAATTGGTCATCGTTGCACCGGAAACCAATCATGCGCCTTGAATGAGTGCCCGTTGCCGATACAGTACAGGCATGTACAAAATCTCTTGAGTCGTTCCTCATTTTTTTTCTGAATGAAATACTTTGGAAAAAAATGATGTACTGAAGCTGCGGTAAATGAAGCGCGACTTAGCGAGGGATCACTGTACAGTAATCATTCTTTTTTTGCGGTTCAGAAACGCCCCTCGAAAGGTGAAAAGCCTGAGGTAGAATTTGCGCTCTGGACTTATCCACCACTCAAAATGTACAATGTCACACTCTCTAAAAGTCTTTTCACAAATAGCCAAGGATTAAAAAAAGAAATACACCACCACCATGGATAAAAATAATCAAAGAAAGAAAGAAAAATCCACCACTAATATATGATGCTGGTCATGTTACTTATTGTGTCGTAATCTGAGCTCATCGAGCTCTCCGAGTCACCTTCATTGTATTGATAAACCATAATTCTATGGGTGTTTTTTGTCTTCCTGTGTTTTGCAGACACCAGTGAAGATGTTTGTCGTGAGCGGCTGGCTGCAGGACCCTCTCACATTAAAGAGGAAGAGGAGAGCAGAGAGGTCTCCTATGTTAAGGAGGAGGAGGAGGAGCAGGCTCTTTACATGAAAAAACAGGAGGAGCCAGAGCACCCTTGCACGAAAGATGGTGACAACACCTCATCAAATGTTGATGATGATGAGGATGAAAAGTCTGATGGTGGTCTGACATGTCACACTGACAGCAAACCCTGGAAATGTTTTGTGTTGGAAGATGTTTACTTGTCAGGTTGATTTGAAAATACACACAAAAACACACTGGTGAGAAACGTTTTGACTGTTCAGATTGTGGCCAAAGGTTCTCTCAGGAGGAAAGTTTCATAAGGCATGTAAGAACCCACACTGGTGAGAAAACCTTTTTCTTGCTTAGCCTGAGGCCAAAGATTCTCTGAGAAGGGACACTTAAAAAGCCACACAAGAACACACTGGTGAGAAACTTTTTGCCTGCTCAACGTGTGGCCAAAGATTCTCTCAGAGGGAACTTTAAAACCACACACCAGAAGCAACACTGGTCAGAAACCTTTTTCTTGCTTAGCTTGTGGCCAAAGATTCTCTCACAAGCAAAGCTTAAACAAGCATGGAAAAACCCGCACTGGTGAGAAACCTTTTGCCTGTTCAGATTGTGGCCAAAGCTTCTGCCAGAAGCGACAATTAAACACACAAAAACCTTTTTTTCTCTCATTTCTCTCAAAAGGGAACCTTAAAAAGACACACCAGAACCCACACTGGTGAGAAACATTTTGCCTGCTCAGATTTTGGCCAAAGATTCTCTCGTCAGGGAAACTTAATTCACCACCCAAGAACCCACACTGCTGAGAAACATTTTGCCTGTTCAGAACATTCTCTCTAAAGGTAAATGTAAATGGTCACAAAAGAACCCACAATGTTGAGAAACCTTTTTCCTGCTCATTTTGTGGCCAAAGATTCTCAAAGAAGTCTCAGATTAATAGAGATGATAGACCTCCAGATCTTCCCGGAATTCTGGCTTTTCAAATTTTCGTGAAAATTCCCCTGGAAAATTGAGGAAAAATTGCCGAAAACAGTCAGTCAACGTCAGCATGCACATGTATGCACGAGCGCGTCTTAGGGTTTCAACCAATCAGCGCCGATGCAACCGACGTCACAGATCAAAGAAGCTTTGATCTACGACAACAGCAAAGCTTGCGGACACGACATGACGCTCGAGGTTGGACTGACACGTTTTTCTGCTAGTATGTGTTTCCCTTTTTGTCCAAATTTTGCTTTCATGAGTGTAGCCATGTTGAGTCACAAACACTAGTAACAAAACCACCCCTCAACTTGCATTCTTATGGCCTCACCATACTTCGGGGATTTTGAAATTTCTGCGAGAACGGAAGCCACAAAGGGTGCACGCGTGTACACAAAAGGCAGATTAATCATTGAATGTCGAGTATTTGAATAACGTTTTATGTAAACTAATTCACACGTGATTGGCCACGCACGGGCCCAGCGCAATGTTCAAACGCAAGCTGACATACGTGCAATAGACGTGAGTGTTAGGAACACGTTCAAGTGGTCATGGCTTGAGGAAAAGGACTTGAACGGAGATTTTTTGTCCAATTACATTTGTAAGGTCTACAAACCTGGTAAGTCCGTTAAAATCTCAATTAAAAAAAAAAAACCTCGTCTCACCCCTCAGGTGGTGTCCGTCCCCCATTCAGCTCGGGTCCTACATCCACTACAACGACTTTCCTCTGCCCTTTATCTATGATTACGATATCTGGTTGGTTCACCCTTTGGAGGTGTTTCCCATTTTGACCTTGGGGTTTCCAGTCCAAACTCCGCACAGATATTTCGGGAGCTATGCTAGCCACCTGGTTATGGCGTTCCCTGTAGGCTTTCCTTGCCAGCATCTTACACCCTGCAGTTATGTGTTGGATCGTCTCAGGTGCCTCTTTGCACATCCTACACCTTGAGTCTTGTCTGGTGTGGAATATCTGGGCCTCTCTGGCTCTGGTGCTCAGGGCCTGCTCTTGAGCAGCCAGGATGAGTGCCTCTGTGCTGTCCTTCAGGCCAGCCTTCTCGAGCCACTGATAGGACTTCTTGAGATCAGCCACTTCAGTTATGGTCCGGTGGTACATCCCGTGTAGGGGCTTGTCCTCCCATGATGGTCCCTCTTCCAGCACCTCATCCTCTGTTCCCCATTATCTGAGACATTCTCTGAGTACGTCATCCGTTGGAGCCTTCTCCTTGATGTGTTCATGGAGCTTGGATGTTTCATCCTGGACAGTGGCTCTCACACTCACTAGTCCCCGGCCTCCTTCTTTTCGGCTTGTGTACAGTCTCAGGATACTGGATTTGGAATGGTTAGGAGCTTTCGGGTCTTAACATCCGTGGTCTGAATCTCTTCCTTTGGCCACCTTATTATTCCTGCAGGGTATCTGATCACTGGCATGGCATCGCTGTTTATTGCCCGGGTCTTATTCTTGCCATTGAGCTGGCTTCTTAGGACTTGCCTCACCCGCTGGAGGTATTTGGCCGTAGCCACTTTCCTTGTTGCCAGTTCGAGGTTGCCATTGGCTTGTGGTATACCGAAGTACTTGTAGCTGTCCTTCATGTCTGCTATTGTTCCTTGAGGGAGTGAGACCCCTTCAGTGTGGACTACCTTGCCTCTCTTTGTCACCATCCGACTTCATTTCTCAAGCCCGAATGATATCCCGATGTCACTGCTGTAGATCCTGGTTGTGTGGGTCAGGTAGTCTATGTCCCTTCCGCTCTTAGCATACTGCTATATGTCATCCAGGTAGAGGAAGTGACTGATCGTAGCTCCATTTCTGAGGCAGTATCCATAGCCTGTCTTGGCGATTACTTGGCTTAGGGGGTTCAATCCTATGTAGAACAGCAGTGGGGAGAGCGCATCACCTTGGTATATGCCACATTTGATGGACACTTGGGGAAGTGGCTTGCCATTGGCTTCAAGTGTGGTTTCCACATCCTCATCGAGTTCGCAACGAAGGCTCTTAAGGTCCTGTACATGGATTGATCCATGTGTCCACTTAGCTGCAATGATGCCTGGCATGAGCTTCCATGTTGTGGAGAGACAGGTTATTGGCCGATAGTTGGATGGGCTGCACCCTTTGAGGGATCCGTCATGATCAGGATCGTTCGCCTTTTTGTTAGTCATCTTGGGTGAGTCCCATCCCTCAGTTCATTTGTGCTGCTAGGCGCTCATGGAGTTCTGTGAGTTTCTTTAGCCAGTAGGTGTGGACCATGTCCGGGCCTGGTGCTGTCCAGTTCTTCATATCTGAGACTCTCTCCTGTATGTCTGCCACTGTTATGGTAACTGGGTTCTGTTCAGGGAGGTTGCTGTGCTCCTCTCTCACTAGCCATTGTGCACTGCTGTTATGTGTGACCTCCTTCTCCCATATGCCTTTCCAGTACCTTTCAGTTTCCATGAGACTTTCAAGTGGTACTTCACATAGCCGTTGTAATCGGTTTCTAGGTTGCCCACCTTTCATTCTCACCATGATATTAGCTTTCAGGTCTGCCTCGCTCAGCATTTCATTCATTGGGGCTGACCTTCCAATGTCATCATCTGCATTCATTGGGGCTTGCCTCCCAATCTCTGGTATGACCCCCTCCTCTGATCTGGCAGCCTGGGGCCCTTCACCATGGAATCTGCGTTGTACCTCATCAATCTCAAGTTGTGACAGCAATTTCCGTTTGTAGATGTTGGAACACTGAGCTACTAGTTGTTTCGTGGTCAACCGTGACTGTGGGTTTCGAAGTACCCATTCAGCCCCCACCTCTGACTAGGGTTGCTTGAATAGTAGCATTCCAACAGAGCCATGTTATTGCATGTCGCCCATCTCTGCTTTGTTTCAGTAGCCCATTTTTCATCAAGGTGCTCTGGTTCCCCAGCACCTGACGCAGACCTTGTTTGGCCGGGCGACGTCTGAGCCGGCATGTCATTCGTTTTATTGTCTCTCATCATTGTATGAGGTAGGCATTAGCGTGAACCGTCTTGCCCAAGGACCCACACTGGATGGTGTTATGTGCTTCTTTTGCCCCAAGCGGGATTCGAACTCCCGTCTCCCGTACGCCAAACCGGTGCCTTACCAACTGAGCTGTCCAGCCTCTCTCTCTCTCTCTCTCTCTCTCTCTTCTCCGGCTCTCTCTCTCTCTCTCTCTCTCTCTCTCTCTCTCTCTCTCTCTCTCTCTCAACGCCTCCCCCTTCTCTCTCCCCGCCGCGCACAGAGCAAATAGAAGAGACAGTATGCCAGAGAATCAACAGCGTGACGTGACACGAGGCTTTCTGAGTGTCTCGTCACACTGGGTGGGGCTGCGAAGATGTGCAGCCAATCAGCTCACGGGATAATTCCACTCGTGCTGTCATTGGTCGACGTCGCACCGTAAACCAATCATGTCCCTTGAATGAGTGCCCGTTGCCTATCCTACAGGCATGGACAAAACCTCTGAGTTGTTCCTGAATACAGTACGTTGGGGGAAAAAAACGTGATGTACTGATGCCGCGATAAATGAAGCGCAATATAGCTTGGGATCACTGGATAGTCATCGGTCTTTTTTCAGGGTTCAGAAATGCCCCATGATAGGTGAAAAGCACGTGATAGAATTTGTGCTCTGGACTTTTCCACCACTCAAAAATGTGCAATGTCACACTCTGGACAAGTCTTTTAACACATAACCAAGGATAACAAAATGACAAAATAAACCAACACCATGGTTAAAAATAATCCAAGAAAGAAAATCCACCACTAATATCTGATGCTGGTAATGGCAGTTGTAATCTGAACTCATCTCGCTCTCCGAATCACCTTCATTGCAATTATAAACCATAATTCCATGGGTGTTTTTGTCTTCTTGCAGATATCAGCAAAGATGTTTGTCCTGAGCAGCTAGATGCAAAGCCCTCTCAAATTAAAGAGGAAGAGGACAGCAGGGAGGTCTCCCACTTTAAGGAGGAAGAGGAGGAGCAGGCCCTGAACATTAAAAAAGAGGAGCAGCCAGAGCCCACTTGCACGAAAGATGGTGACAACACATCAAATGTTGATGATGATGAGGATGAAGAGTCTAATGGTGATCTGACATGTCACACTGACAACACACCCTGGAAATGTCCTCAGTGTGGCAAAACGTTTACTTATCAGAGTCATTTGAAAAGACACGTGAGAACTCACAGTGGTGAGAAACCTTTTGCCTGTTCCGATTGTGGCCAAAGATTCTCCCATAAAGGAAATTTAAAAAGACACACAAGAACCCACACTGGTGAGAAACCTTTTTCCTGCTTACTTTGTTGCCAAAGATTCTCTTGTAAGGTAACGTTAAAAGCACACACCAGTACCCACACTGGTGAGAAACCCTTTTCGTGCTCAGATTGTGGCCGAAGATTCTTTTGGAAGGGAAGCTTAATGAGCCACACAAGAACGCATACCAGTGAGAAACCTTTTTCCTGCTCAATTTGTGGCCGAAAATTCTTTTGGAAGGGAAGCTTAATTAACCACACAAGAATACACACCGATGAGAAACCTTTTTCCTGCTCAATTTGTGGCCAAAGGTTCTTTTGGAAGGTAAGCTTAATTAACCACGCAAGAACACATACCAGTGAGAAACCTTTTTCTTGCTCAATTTGTGGCCAAAGATTCTTTTGGAAAGGAAGCTTAATTAACCACACAAGAACACACACCGACGAGAAACCTTTGTCCTGCTAAAAATACACACAAGAACCCACGCTGGTGAGAAATCTTTTGCCTGTTCCATTTGTGCTCAAAGATTCTCGTGGAAATATCAGATTAATAATCACAAGTGTGATGATGAGATGAACAGTTCTCAATGAAATTTTCACCTCTCATCTGAGCAGGCTTCATGAGTCCATGCACCAAGGCTGATTGTATTTTATGTACTTTTCCTTGAGTGCATTGAAAAGTTTTTTTTTGGTGGTCGTATTGAATTAGAAAATCTTGCTTTATCGTCAACATAATACTTTTGGATTCTCCATTTTAGGTAGTTTGTGTTTGGCTTTGAGTTGTGGTCTTTAAATATAGTTTGTTTTCACTCATTTTCAGAGATGTGGTTGTTTGATTTAGTTCTTCATTTTTTGTTTCCTTTTTTCTTTTTGTTTTAAATTTTACGGTCCTTGACTGTACAGCACCCCACGTGTTGTGATGTGTGTTTAATTGTCTTTTATTGGATGCGATCCTGAATAAAATGGACATCATCCATTTTGTCAGAAAATGTGTGATGGAACCATGATGTAATTTGTTTTTTAATATTGTTTGTTGCTTGCTGGCCAATGAAGTTCTCTGTGCTCAAAAAAGCTTGGATCAGCCGAGTCTTCTTCAATTCCCTACCTCAATACTGGTGAGATTCATGACTGGTTTCCCAGCAGCGACATATAAAAATATGAGCCCCAAAACAGAAGGTGCGGTTCACTTTTTTAGTGCAGCTTTTTTTAATGCTTTTAAACAGCGAATTGCGTTCTGCATCCTGATTGGCTCAGGCACTGACTGACGTGAACAGTCTCCGCACCTCGTCTCTATACAGCTTGCCAAATTTACCTTTGCAAATTTTTGATCTTTGGTTTCATTGTATCAGTGGCGGATGCTGGTCTGTCAAGGAGGGGAAGCTCAATTTCGACCTACATTATAAAATGTGTCAGTTTATTTGTACGTGAATTCTACTCTCCGTTCCTTTTCAAAAAAATGAAAAGGTTGCCTTCATCATAAGATCGATGATTGTCTCATTTCGCTGTCAATCAAAAAGGATTCATGTCGCATTGTAACTAGAAATAAAAAGCTAATTCGGAACAAAAGTTGAGCGCGTTGTAGCGCATATTTAGTCAATGACACGTCCACACAATTGTACGTACATACATATATTTGATCACGTACTTTTTGACATTTTAGGGGAAGCTGAGCTTCCCTTGCAGCCTTAGAGCAATCGCCTCTGCATTGTATACATAGTTCAGTATTGTATAATAACTGTAAAAAATAAAGCTATCAAGTACCAAGTACAACTTTATTGTCAAATGTGCTGTAACATATGTGAAACATACAGCACATTTGAAATTTCGTCACTCTCACATTTTCTTGCTTTTTTTTTTTTTTTTTTTTTTTTTTTTATAAATCCTACTTCACGGATTTCACTGATCACTGGTTCTTTTTGGAATGTAACCCCCGCGATAAAGGAGGGATTACTGTATTTAAATGTTGACATTCATTCTAACATGTCTCAAATATGGTGTTAGAGGAATCTATGAGCAAAATTGTATCATGTTTAAAGTTTCATTTAATTTGGGCACATCTAAACGTTTGGGTGCATATCCAGCACCCTCAAATGCCTGTACACCTGGCCGGAGGACGGTTGAAGCCCACAATTAGCACGTCAATGCAGGTGGGCGATCACAGGGGAGAGGGCGAAGCTCGGTCACAAAAGGGGAACGAATAATTCGGGAACCGTGGTTGAACAACAAAAGACGAGTTGAGAACACCCGTCGCGCCCAGGCGACATTGGCCATCCGCAAAGTCTGCAACAAGTTAATTTGATGTAGACCAGACAGAAAAGGCGCCAACGTACTGGTGGTTCAAGTTTAAAAAACAGGTAACCAATCACTACCGAGGGGCCGCACCGGGGGTGCGGCATGCAAATATCGGAGGCAGTGGTTTGCTTGTATTTTGCATATGTTACAATAAAATGTCGAACTCGTGGAGGGCGGGACTCAGAGTGTGATCATCGGAGCAACTAAACCGTCGTTCGCTCTCAGAGATCCCCTCCCGCCGATATTGAAGACAATTTTCCTGTGTGCTGAGTCATTTCTTTAACTTTGTCCGAGAAAATCTCTGACATATGGTCAGAATGGAGTTTTTGAACGCCGCTTTGAACTGAGAGGTCCGAGCTCTGATGTCACCAAAAATGACCCCAAATTCTCTTATAAAGGGCCGCGGGCGTGCTGGAGCTCATCCCAGCTGTGTTGGGGCGGCAGGCGGGGTACACCATGAACTGGTTGCCACCCGATCGCAGGGCACATGTAGACGAACAACCATCCGCTCTCACACCTACGGACAATTCAGAGCAGTGGTCTCAAAATCATTTTCACCAAAATGGTCATCAGCAAAATGGTCTTAATTGTAACTTAGTTTAATTGAATGCAATGTAACTACTCTTTCATGTAACATAAATCTGAATGTATTACTTAATTGGATATAAATAACAAAATAAAAATTGACTCAGGTAACAAATAAATGGTCAAGTTTTTAGGTTTTAGAAGAGGAGATGCAGCCCACCCAACACATCTGCACACTGATCTTTAACATGAACTGTTTCAAATGTTCTCCTGAAAAAGACTTGGAAGCACAGGCAATTTCTTCAGCAACAATAAAGCGAGCTTTCAATGCCTCATTGCTTTTGGCTATCTCAGTCGTCTTCGGGCAGGAGGCGGGGGACACCCTGAACCGGTTGTGATCCACTCGCTGTGCACAAATAGATAACAACCATCAACCTTCACACTTACGCTCAGGGACAATGTTGAGTGTTCAATCAGCCTGCCATGCATGTTTTTGGAATGTGGGAGGAAACTGGAGTACCCAGACAAAGCCCACGCAGGCATGGGGAGAACATGCAAACTCCACAGAGGGAGGCAGGACAAAATGTACTACAGTGGAACTCCTCTACAACGAAATCATGTTTGCAGCAAGAAATTTTTCACAACAGGGGGTTTTTCACTGGAGCAAATTTGATCTCAGATGTAATCACACACACACACACAAACGTATGTGTATACGCACACACAAACGTATGTGTACTCTATTTTTATTCCAATAGTGCATAAGTATGAGCACACACTTATTTGACACTTCATATTGTCAGTGTAGAAAGAAAAAAAGGGAAAGAAATTGCGAAATTTACGATCAGCATTCACTTTCACTTACATCAATTTCTTGGATAATGTCTTTTATTTTGCTTGCTCCGTCTTTCATTTTGATCACTTTTACCCTCTCTTCCAGCATCAGAGCTCTTCTTGTCTTAGCTGCTTGACATCAAAAGGTCCGTTTTGTAGCCATTTTAGCAATGCAACGTCCATCCTCGTCTGAATCTAACAATAACAAATACTTCCTGGCATGCAATGAACTTTTAAGCCAGCCACGGGGCGCTTCGTAGTCCTCGATGGCCATAGTTAGCTCTCGAAGGCTAAAAACCTTACGCTAATTGGAGCGCTTCTCTCTCATTAGCGCTCCAGTTAGCATAAGGTTTTTAGCCTTCGAGAGCTAACTATGGCCATTGAGGACTACGAAGCGACCCGTGGGTGTTTTTAGCGTGATAACAAGTAAAGCATTCGAGGAAACGTTCGTTTATTTGAATGTCCGTCGAGTCATAAGCAATTTACTCTGAGCAGCTAATCGGATGCTACAGATCTAGCTTCAGTATCTACACACATAGACAGTGAGGTCCCTCTTGGCCAATCGGAAGCCAGGATGATGCTCGGTAAGCCAATGGCAGAGCAGCTATGAGTATGTTGAGTCCAGGAAACTCGCATGAGTATGTTGAGTCCAGGAAACTCGCAGCTGTGACCGAAATAAACATCGTTCACTATGAAAACCAGTGTGGTAGTTGCTGTTGCCTTTTTTCGAACGAAGCAGTAGAGGTCGCTGTTGGATAAGACTTCGTTGTAGTGAATGTCTTCGCGAGGCTGGAGCAGAGAAAATGATTTCGTATAACGCAACAGGGTTTTTTTTCATCGTATGGGGGGCAGGAGAATGAGAATGGTGTTAATGCATGAAGATTTTTTCACATAAGGGGGTATTTTCGCCCATGTAGGTTTCGTTCTAGAGGAGTTTCACTGTAACAAAAAATTACTTGCAGGAGCACACGGGAAAAACTCAAATACACGAACAAAGTCCTGAAAACCACATGAAACCTAAAGTAACAAACAAACATAAAAACCAATGACAGACACAAAACATGACAGGAACACAATGATCCGTCAAAGACTGACAGAACCTAGGGAAGAGAATACAAGCAAAGCGACGAGACAACAAGAAACACTGGAACAAGACACAAAAGGTTGAGGGAGCTGAGTGGTTAACACAAGTGACCCAGATGAAGAGAAAAGTTGGGGACAAAAAAGGCACATGAGGAAACAAAAGCAAATGTAACCTAAACAAAATCATTACATTACCCCTCCCTCAAGGGACGGATCCCAGACATCCCGAAGTCACCCAGTGGTGGCCGTAGGACGTGCACCGCTGGAACGGACACGGATGGCGGCTGCGGGTTGTGCGCCACCGTAACGGGGACAGGTGGCGGCTGCGGGACGTGTGCCACCAGAAATGGTGGTGGGCACAGGACTTGCACTGCCAGAACGGGTTGGATGCCGCAGAACGTGTGCCACTGGAGCGGGTGGAAATGGCATCAGGCCTCTGATCCTACGGTGCCCATTTGCTAGTCGGATCATTTTGTCATGATTTGGCGTGATGGTCGATGACCCCAAAAAGCAGGGAGGCAGGAGGAGAAGAGTGGACGAAACAAAATATATGTTCAAAAAATACTTCCAAAAACGAACTCAAGTACACAAACACAAAGCACAAATGCTTTGAAATGCCCCCCAACCCCCGCCCCACTCCTGACAGAAATGAACAATATCTGAGTATTTGGCAGTTTTGCTTTATTTCACAAAATAACTTGTCAATGTTAATGTTTCAAAAACTTTCACAAAAATAAGAGCAGGCTCATTTGGAAGAGGCACAAATGTCTCTAAACTATCACATCCCGATGGCCTCTCAGTGACAGGACTCACTCTGCCCTCAGAAGTGGTGGTTGCATCATGAATTGAACTGGTAGAGAGTTGTTGCTCAGGGCGAGATGCTGCTGCAAAGGCTCTACACCAGGGGTCGGTAACCTGCGGCTCCAGAGCCGCATGTGGCTCCTTAGTACCATCTAGTGCCTCTCTGGAGCTGTATAAAAACTGTTTGAAAATGGAGAAAGATGTGGGAGGGAAATTTATTTTAAGTTTTAATATGGTTTCTGTAGGAGTAAAAACATGACACAAGCATTCTTAACATTTTCCAATGCTGTAAAAATGTGTTGAATAACTATTACATTTCAACGTTTCTATCAACAAAGATGTGCGTCATAGCCTGTGACACACATTTCTATTAGTAGGGCGGGATGCAAGGCAGGTGGCTGTTGCAAAAAAGAACAAAAGGTATTTCATGTACAATTCACCGAGGGTACTGGCAAGAAGAATCTGGAGGGCCGTGAGAAGCATTTTTAAAATGGTACACTTGAGCTACGATAGTTAAAATGCTGCAAAAAGTGCAT